GGGCAAGCCATGAAAATAGTAATTATATAATACAAAAGGTTTACTACCTATTAAGAGCTAAAATCAAGATATAAACAATTTTTTGTGGAAAGAAAAACATTGCTTAGAAATGTCAGAAAACACTTCGTAGAGGAGGGGCCGGCGCTGCAGAAGGAGTGAGATTGTTGAGGCTAACGGGGGCTGCGTAGGGTCTCCCTGCTGGAGGAAAGCCCGTGCAGAGGTGGGCTTGTGGAAGAAGACGGCACCTGCAGCGCACGTGGCAGGAGCCCCGAGATGCACACGCAGGCCTTGGGGCCCGGGACTGAAGTGCCCTGGTTGCCTCTAAAAAGCTTTGGTTTTTCATTGGAGGAATGGGGAGTGATTGGAGCAGGAGGGTGGTTTGATCCAAACCATTTCTGAGAAAGATACCGTGTTGGCAGTTCTGAGGAAGAGGCTTGAGTGAGGAAAGACTTGTGGTGAAGAGACCAGTTAGGAAGCAGATAAATTGGGGTGAGATCTGGAATCAACCTGTGGCTCAAGAAGAGGAGATGCAGCCTGCTTTCCGAAGTACTTCTGAGGCTCTAGACTATGTGGCCCTCACGCTGCGCTGAACTTTATCAAGCTTCACATCCCAGTGCCTCCTATAATAGCGAGCGTTTAGTGGGAGTTCAGCAAACATTTGCTGGAACGAGGAACTGGGGGTAGAATGGGTAGCGTTTCGTAGGGATGGTGTGAAGGCGAAGAAGATGTTGGGCGGATGAGCTGATGAGAATGTGGGGTGGGGGGGAGCGGGGAGACGCGGGTCCAGTTGTGGACGTGTTACGGGTGACTAGTTTAAGATCCTCCAGGGAGGATGAGCCATAGAAAATTAGAAAGATTAGGACAGGATCTGGGAGAGAAATTACAGAGCCGAAAAAGAGCTTGAATCATCAGGGTCTGAGTAGTAGTTAAGCCTCTGAAAATGAATGAACCTGGCCTGTGTAAACAAGTAGAGGAAGAGCAGAGGGTCAAGGGCAGCTCCCTGGAGAACGCCAGCACTTAAAGGGGGTGGAGCCAGTTTGGAGGAAACCTGGAGAGAGTCTTGACCTGGAAGCATCGGCCTGTTCGTAGCAAAGGCTTCAGAGTACGGGGAAGAGCGAGAATAAATCTTTTTCAGGTTTGACCATTAGGAGGCCACTGAAGGCTTTGGCAAGAGCGATTTCAGCTCAGACAAGGATCAGGGGTGGAGTAGGGCAGAGGGTTGAGTGGGAAGCGAGCATGTAGCACAGATTAAGGAGTCTGACCACTGGAGCTCGAGATGGAGATGGAGAGGTAGCTTGAGGAGGAGACAGAAGCAGAGAGGGGGGTTGTTTTGTTTTAGGCACAGGGAGACTTGACTCTGTTTCTGAGTCAAAGGGAGCGGAGGAGGGGGGAGAGGTGGAAGCAGCAAGGCCGAGGGGGATCACTGGTTGGGAGCAATGCTGGAAAGGTGGGCGGGGACCCAACCCAGTATCCGGGTGGGCCAGGAGTGGCAGGTGAGTCTAGAGGTGGCAGGCAGGCAGCTCCGGGTTTTCCCCACAGGACTGAGGGACAGTGACACGGATTACGGCTTCTGCCCCACTGGTTTTCCCATCCCCCTTCTCAGGAACATTAAGCCACAGCCCTCTGATGGGCCCAAGGGCTTGGAGGGGCCTGGCGTCATGCCATGTCCATGGGTGACGTCCAGTTCTGTTCGTCTTGGTACAGCGGGTACCCACTGAGTACTTGCTGTGTGAGGCTTTGAGCGCCAGGCAGCAGGAGGCTTCTGTTCTTCACCGCGTCCTCCAGTTCTGCCCTTTGGCGACTCCGTGGCAGGGCTCAGCAGCCTCGCTGCAGCGGGGGACACTGTGGTTCTTAGCAGAGCACCGGGAGGGCACACAGCCTTCCCGCCTTGGGGTCAGCTTTACCTAGCGGGTCGGGTGAGCCAGTCTCCTGGGCAGCTGGTGGCAGGCAGAGGTTGCTGCACCTTGGACATGAGTGGACGAGATTTCTGTTCTCCTGCCCAGGTACCCTGCTGTGACTTTTCTTCTGTCCTTTTGTCCCTGGGGTGGGGACGGCTGCTGGGAGAAGGCTCCCTGTTGTCCAGAGGCAGCAGGCAGCCCAAGAAGCCCGCGCCCCTGGAATCCTGGGGGCTGAGCCATCCTCTTGGCTTGGCCAGCAAGGGGAGGGGGTGGGTAGGTGGATGACATCCCTGGGGGTCTCTCGGAGCAGACCCCAGGACTAGCCAGTCTGCTTAGCATAAGACCAGCACAGTTTAGGAGGAAAGTGCAGAACGTTACTGGGGAAGAGGTCAAAAAATAGTAGTTTTCTTGTTCAGGACCCATCACCTCCGACCACCAAAGTTCTCCTTCACTGAGGACAGCTGAGTCCTTGACCTTCAGTTACTGCACAACACACTCTCTGTAGCGTTCTCCATTTTGGCTGCATGTTAGAATCACCAGAAAGGTGAGCTTTTTTTGTTTGGTTGGTTTTTTACTGGCCAATGCCTGGGCCCCATGCCCAACCAATTAAATAAGACTTGGAAAGTGGGGTCTAGATGTCAGTAAATGCCTCAGCTTCTCAGGTGATTGCCTTGTGCCCCGAGTGCTGTGACCTGCTGTTACAGGGAGATGGAGTACGCTGGACTGAATCCTGATCAGAAAGGACTGAGAGCACGGAGGGTGGGAGAGGCTGCAGTTCATAATGTAAAGAATGTGAGAGCCTGAAGGATCTTGTTTAGAGCTTTGCAGCTCTCCGTGCGGTCCCAGCCTAGCAGCAGAGCACCACCTGGGAGCCGGTTAGAATGTTGGACCCACGACACCCACTGAATCAGAACGTACACATCAAAGATTGAGAACCGTGCTTTCGCCATTATCAGAACCAGTGGTTCTCAACCTTGGCTGGGTTAGAATTGCCCCTGGGTGCTTGAATACATTCCAGTGCCAGGCCAGACCACTTAAGTCAGAATTTCCAGTTATGGGACCCAGATACTGCAGTCCTCCCGTTCCGCCAAGGTCAAGGACATCCATCTTGATAAGCGCATCTCAAGCTCGAATGTGCATGTGAGTCATCAGGGGATCTTACGCAAACGCAGTTTCTGATTTGTGCCTCTGGAGGGGTCCGGGATTATACATTTCTAATAAGGTCCCTGGTGAGGCTCAGGCTGCAGATCTGATAAATATATTTGAGTCACAAGCATTTCTTAAGCCAAATTCCCAGTTTTACAGCTGAAGTAACTGAGGGTCAGAGAGGGAAAAGTGACTCCCCCAAGATAACCCAACACGTTATTCATTCAATACTTGCTGAGCACTGGCTGTGTGTCAGGCAGTGTGCTACATGCTGGGGCTCAAGCTGGGAATAAGACAGACCCGATTCCTACCCTCACAGGGCTTATGTGCAGTGGGGGAGACAGACAGAGAGCAAGTAACTAAACGAATTACAGATCGGGAGAAGCGTGTGAAGGGGATAACGTGGTAGGGCATGACTTGGCAGTTGTGGGTAGGTCGGGGAGGCAGGCCACCCTCGGAAAAGCAGTAGGTCTTGACTTTCACTGGGGTCTGCTGATTACAACTCTAGAGCTCTTCTTTACTGGACAGGACCAGCCCCCATCCCCACTGGGATTCAGAGATGGGCCCTCCTGACCCTGCTGAAAACATCTGGCTCTGGTCCCCACCCCTATCCCTTTCCCCCACCCGGCTTTCTCTTTCCCTCAACACTCTCATTCTTGGGTATTTGCGGACTCAGGGTGGAGCCTGGGGAGTACCCCTGGGAGCAGAGCATCGATTCCATAACAGGACAGTGTTACGGAGGATAATCGATTTATGATTTCTAACCAAAACCAGACCTCGTCCAGATGCGGTCCCCCACCATTGAGAAATAATTTGAGATTTTTCATTTCTCCCCAAAAGAGCACAAACACTAGGGCTTCCCTCCCTTTCCTGATCCTTCAAAAGAACCACGTGGGCAGCTTGTGAAGATGCCCATCCCAGGTCCCACCGCAGCTGGCTGAACCTATCCCCGGAAAGGGCCCTGGAATCTGTGTTTAGTATGTGGCCCATCTGATTCCTACAACCCAGATCCTTGGGGAGGATGTCATGGAGAGAAGAAACTGGCGCTCTGCACGCATCCCGTGCCTCTCTGTGTGGCTGTGAAAGCTGCAGAAATTTCTTCCCGGTGACTCAGAAGCACGGTCCTTGGCTGGCTTTGCGACTGGAGGGACCTCGCTGTTGATGTGCATGTAGCAACTCACCCCTCCCACAGCCCTGTCCTTACCTTGCCAGCCTCTGCCCTTACCTGAAAGGGTCTCCTTTCTCTCCTCTGACCAGCCAGACCCCTCTCACTCTCCGCGCTCCTGTTCAAACAGCCTGCCTCCGTTGAGTTTCCCCCATGGACCTGGTGGTGAGGGCTTGGACTCTGTTTGGACTCAGCCAGAGGCTAGAAGGGCTGCAAGAGAACTTGTGGACCATCTGATGGTCCCACAGTCACCCCAGGGCCTGGCCCGAGCAGATCTGTTCAGGTGGAATGGTGAGAGATTGATGATAGAGGCGTGGACGGTGGCCAGAACCAAGGGAATGCCTTGGATGTGGAGAAAAGATAAACTTCAGTTGTGTACAATGTGAATCACGCCTTTGTACAGTTAGCTTAACTTTCATGTAGAAAATGGGTGGAGGTACATCTGTTTCCTGGAGCTGACCCTTCCGAGGTCCAAGTGAGGGATAGGACACAGTGGGGGGAACCATGCCGGGGAGGCTGTGGTAGGCTGGTCTGGCCTGGGACGGAATTCGTGAAGGGTGGGACTTGGTTTCCCTCTCTGGGGCGTAGGCCCCGCCTGGACCGCTGATGCTGCCTTTGAGGGGTTAGGGAGATGCCCAGGGTGAGGAGGGCCACTCCCTGGATGGCCGCCCTGGAAGCAGCTTGGTGCTTTCTGGAGGCGGGAAGAGGCAGGCTGTGGGTGTGCCCTGCTCCAGTGTCTAGGCGACAGTGTTTGTGGTGCTGACCAGACACCTGTGACTCCTGCCTCCTAGGTGGCCCGAGGCAGCCGGGATGACAGCTCTCCCCAGGAACCCTGGCACCTGAGAAACATGATCAGCAAGTCCCGTGAGTATTCCCCAGGAGCTCCCCACCCTGCGGGGTGGGCTCCCCAGAAGCAAGGGGTTGGGGAGGGACCGACACGGAGCCAGGGGCCCCTGTCTTCATCCTGAAGGACGGCAGAGACACTTGGGTCCAAGCCCTGAGCCAGAGAACTAGGGCCAGGCGAGGGCCTGCTGTGAGCCGGCCTTGCAGGGGCCCCAGCTGAGGCAGCTGAGAAGGGGGCCTGGGGCTGTGCCTCCCTGTTTCTGCTTCCAGCTCTTCCGTGCGTTCGCCCTGCAGGCTGGAAACTCCTGGCCACGCTGGCTCTGGTCCTGGTCGTCATGGTATGGTACTCCATCTCCCGAGAAGACAGGTACATTGAGCTGTGAGTCCACCTTTCATGTCCTTCCGTGGGTTCTTCTTGGGAACCGGGCTCAGGGATGGAGCGTCATGAGGTGGGGACCTAGTGGGGGGACAGGAGGGTTCAGAGAGCCAGGGCATGACCTCTCCCATACACTACTAGCCCAGGATCCTCTGTGAGGGGAGTTGGTGGGTTTTGGGGGGTAGGACCTGGGATGACTCCCCGGGGTTCTCACCCAGGGAGTTCAGGAGAACAAAGAACTGGCTTTGCAATGATTTGGTTTCAAAGTGGGACTTGGGCTGACACCGGTGCAGCCGGAGAGTCGCTCTCCGGGGCCTTGGGGCCGGCGTACCCTGGGAGGAGGTGGAGGCTGCCTGGAAAGCTGGCCCCCGGGCCCGGGAGGTCTGACTGGAGCGCCTGCCTCTCTCCTTTTCTGTCTCCAGCTTTTATTTTCCCATCCCAGGGAAGAAGGAGCCATGCCTCCAGGGTGAGGCGGAGAGGATGGCCTCCAAGCTCTTTGGCAAGTATGTGAGGATGCGGGGTGGGCCTGGGTGCCGGCTAGATGGAGGGAACCGTGCTGGTGGACGTGGGCCAGGGGCAGCCTGTGAGGGAGGGAGAGGCCTCGGTGTGTATACGTAATGTGAGTCAGGGGTCTGACCCAGTTTCTGGCATGAAGATGAATCTCTTTCTCATCCCCACCCTGCCTTCACCTCGGCACAGCTACTCCCGAGAACAGCCCGTCTTTCTGCAGCTTAAGGATTATTTCTGGGTCAAGACGCCATCTGCCTACGAGCTGCCCTACGGGACCAAGGGGAGTGGTAAGTATCCGCCTGGTCAGGTGGGCACGGTGGCCTCACCTTGGCCGCACAGCTTCCCGTTTCCTGCTGTCCGTGGTCCCAGTGCCCAGGTTCTCAGCCAGGCCTAGATCCTGGGGGCAGGGCAGGGAGGGTTGACAGCCTTTGGAGATCAGCCCCTTCGTTGCGGTTCTTTTGTAGAAGACCTACTGCTCCGGGTGCTGGCCGTCACCAGCTACTCCCTTCCAGAGAGCATCCAGAGGTGAGGAGACCCTCCCTCCTGCCCCAGTGTGAAACCGTCATGGTCTGGCACCTCCCAGTGAGCCTGCCTGTCTCCAGGGGAGGCGGGCACGCCAGTCCCCACGGCGGCTGAGCCTGGGTACCAGGCTGCTGGAGTGGGCAGAGGCTGCTGAGGGTATTGCATGGTAACAGGCAGGCCTGGGCAGCAGTCGGGGGCTCCGAAATGGGGTTTCTTCTTGGTACTCCCCAGGCACCTTCTCTCCTCCTCTCTCTCTTCCGTGCTCTGTTCAGTTTCCTCCCCCTTGAAAGCCCAGGGCTGCAGGCTCGGCATGACCAGAAGCAGGACTCCTTGGAGAGGCCTGGTCCGTGGGGGCCAGGGGCTGAGGGGCTGAGGGGGCCTGGGCAGACCGGGGCAGGAGCAGGGGCTCCTTCTGGGTCTTACCACCCTGTTCCCGGGGCAGCCTCAAGTGCCGCCGCTGCGTGGTGGTGGGGAACGGGCATCGGCTGCGCAACAGCTCGCTGGGAGAGGCCATCAACAAGTACGACGTGGTCATCAGGTCTGTATGAGCGCCCTTCCCTCTTCTGTTTGGAGGCGATGGTAAACAGACCCAGTGGGATTCTAGGTGACGGGCATCCTCCTCCCTGCCTCCCAGGTTAAACAGCGCACCGGTGGCTGGCTACGAGAATGATGTGGGCTCCAAGACCACCATGCGTCTCTTCTACCCTGAATCCGCCCACTTCAATCCCAAAGTGGAGGACAACCCTGACACGCTCCTTGTCATGGTAGCTTTCAAGGCCATGGACTTCCACTGGATTGAGAGCATCCTGAGTGATAAGAAGCGCGTAAGCGGAGAGACTGGCGGGGGTGAGGTCGCAGCCTGGGGATGGGGACGCCGCCCGGGTCAGGCCCTGCCGCTCCATCACGTGTGCCCCACGGTCCTCAGGAGCCAGTAAGGGGAAGGTGTGAACTCAGTGTTCTACTGCAGGGGTCAGACAGCAGCAGCGAAGGGCACCCTAAGCTCGAGGCTGCTTGGGACAGAAGAACTGCCAAAATATGTTTGCCGGTGAGAAGCTTGGCAGCAGAGGGACCAGTTGGTAGTCATCTCCAGGTGGAGGCAGTTAGAACAGTCGAGATCTCTGTCCTTCTAGGTGGACTCCAGAAAGTCCGCTCTGTCTCTTTGCCATCCAGTTGACAGCTGAACTGTCCGACTGTCCATTTTTTGCCACGTGTTCAGCTGGCCCCTTCTACCTGCATGGCTATACTTGGAAGCGGGCAATGGTTGGAGCCCATACTCTACACACCATGGCACCTGGCCTCCCCTGGGGGGTGCGCCGCTCCCCTCTCTCCCTCCTCCTCTCTTCTGGTCTCCTCTCCCACCTCTGGTGTAGGCCTCCACGTCCCTCCCGTCACCCCGCGCTCCCGAGGGCCTGTGCCGTCAACACAGGGGCCCCGTCCCCTGGAGAAGCCCCTCCCCCTCCCCGTTTCAACCCACTGGCTCTCTCCCTCCCACCTCCACCCGCCTAGGTGCGAAAGGGCTTCTGGAAACAGCCTCCCCTCATCTGGGACGTCAACCCCAAACAGATTCGGATTCTCAACCCCTTCTTCATGGAGATTGCAGCTGACAAACTGCTGAGCCTGCCGATACAGCAGCCGTACAAGATTAAGCAGGTGACGACGGGCTGCAGACGGACGGGAAGCCAGAGGGCTGGGGTTCTCTGTGGGAAGTAGGAGGGACTTCCTAGAGGCTCCAGAAGGCCAGGGAGGACCCCAGGCAAGGGGAAAACAATAGCAGAGACGGCAGCACACGGCCCCCAGGCGCACACCTGTAATCAGAGGCAGGTATTCTGGCTTTTACAGCAAGGGAGGGCACACACTCTTGAGATGCTCTGGGGCATCTCCAAAATGGGGAGTCAGGGAAGGGTATGTTTAGGACTTGGGGGCTAGAAGAAGAGGGTGCCTTTGGCAGGCGCTGATCAGAATCTGTACACTGGGGATTTGCTGGGACAGTCAGTAGTCGTCTTTTTTTTTTTTTTTGGGCCGCGGGCCGCACGGCTTGTGGGATTTTAGTTTCCCGACCAGGGATTGAACACGCACCCCCGGCAGTAAAAGCGTGGGGTCCTGGGTTTCCCTGGTGGCGCAGTGGTTGAGAGTCCGTCTGCCGATGCAGGGGACGCGGGTTCGTGCCCCGGTCCGGGAAGATCCCACATGCCACGGAGCGGCTGGGCCCGTGAGCCATGGCCGCCAGGGCAGTCCCAACAGTCAGTAATCTTATGTTTAGGATATGGAGCCCAGTGGTTACTATTTGATCACTTCATCTGTGATCCAGTCTTGGAGCATATTGGTCTAAAGGAGTTGAAAGAATGTGAGAATGCAGTTGGTCCTGCATATCATGGTTTGGTAGGTGTGACAGTTTGGGAAGTCAGGGTGCAGTTTGCAAGTTCTGGTTTTGGTTTCGGCTCGCACAGCCCTCCCTGGTGGTCTTCTGCTGGCGGGTTTTGGCACACTGGGTAGCTTCCCAAGCAGGTACTTCCACCGTATCTTTGAGCCCTCAGAGAGGCTGTGTGAGGTAGGAGACAGAAGTAATGATCAGGGCTTCCCTGGTGGCGCAGTGGTTGAGCGTCCGCCTGCCGATGCAGGGGACGCGGGTTCGTGCCCTGGTCCGGGAAGATCCCACATGTCGCGGAGCGGCTGGGCCCGTGAGCCATGGCCGCTGAGCCTGCGCGTCCGGAGCCTGTGCTCCGTGACGGGAGAGGCCACAACAGTTGAGAGGCCCGCGTACCGCAAAAAAAAAAAGAAAAAAAGAAGTAATGATCAGACATAGACAGGACTCACGGTGCTACCTGCTGTATGGCCTTGGGCCAGTCAGCCACTCAGAGCCTTGGTTTTCTTATCTGTGGGGTGGGGAAAATAGGAGTACTGACCTTTTAAATTTAAAAGGTAATTACGTGATGTGCTTATCACGGAGGTTGGCACACCATGAATGCTCGATAAACAGTTGCCAAGTTTTGAATAAACGATTTTATTCTTTCTTTTCTTTTCTTCGGCCGCGCTGCATGGCTCGCGGGATCTCAGTTCCCTCACCAGGCAGGGATCAAACCTGGGCCACGGCAGTGAAAGACCGGAATCCTAACCACTTGGCCACCAGGGAGCTCCCCATGATTCTATTCTTTACTGAATATCTACTGCGATTCAGCTTCCTAGGTTGAATGCCTGCTTTTGCGACTGCTCAGCGCCAGGCCCCAAGTTTGCACGCACGGGGAATAAGACATGCCCTCTGCCCTAAGGAAACTCGGTCTAGCGGAATAGACATGCAGGATGCAGCCCGGAATGGCAAAGCGCTCCGATCGAGGGTTGTTCCGAGTGCTGCGGGGTCTCAGAGGAGGGGCGGAACTCTGCTTGGGGCTGTCTGGAGGTGGTGCCACTGGAAGAGGTGGTACTGGAGCTGGGCCCTAAGGGGTCGTGGGGCCCATCAAGCAGAGAATTGGGGAAAGGGATTTCATTTGGCAAGACCAAACAACGCCCCTGGCACTGAGTTCTAGTGCACATGGAGTTGGGTGGGGGGCAGCAAAGAGGAGTTTTCTGGCCCTGGTGGCAGAGGGTGAAGGCTAGAGAGGGAAGCCAGAGATTAGGACCAGAACCCAGCTCCTGGCAGGAGGAAGAGGGAGAGGAAGGGATGAACTTGAGTTTCCTGTCACTGCCTCACAGATAACCACAGTGTAGAGGCTTGAAACAACACCCATGTATTGGCTCATAGTTTTGGAGGTCAGATGTCCAGTACAGCACGGCTGGGTTCTCTGCGCAGGGTCTACAAGGCTGAAATCAAGTTGGCAGCTGGGCTGCGTTCTTTTCTGGAGGCTCGGGGGGTGGAATTTGCTTCCAAGTTCATTCTTGTTGTTGGAAGAATTTGGTTCCTTGTGGTTGCAGGACCGAGGTCCCCATTTCCTGGCTGGTTTTCAGCCTAGGGGTGGTACCCTCAGCATGTAAGAGCTGCCTGCATACCTTGCTGTCTGGTCCCCTCCATCTTCAGGCCAGCAATGCGTGATAAACCCTCTTGTGCTTCACACCTCGCACTTCCTCCACTGCTGATCTCTAGACCCAGATATAAAAGCTCATGAGATTAGGTCAAGCCCACCAGGACTATCTATTTTACAGTCTACTGTGCCACATTAAGCAATATAATACAATGTAATATATCTCATCATATTCATAGGTTACACACACTCTCAAGGGCAAGGGGTCATTTGGGCTTCATCTTAGAATTCTTCTGCTACAGCATTTCTTTTAAGGTGAAATTGAGAGATTTGTGACAGTTTCCAGCACAACTAGGTGGATGGTAATATGTTTAACAGTTACAGGAATACACGGGAAGAGAAGAGTTTGCTAGAAGGTGACGCATGTGTGGTTTGGCAGAGGTCTGAACCGGATGAGATAACACAGTTGGCGGTAAAAGCAACAGGGCTGAAATGGAAGGCTGGGGCAGGCAGTGACATGAAAAGATAGGAGAGCTCAGAAAGGGAAGCTGGGGAACACCTGGCCTTAGGGGATCTGACAAGGTCTGGGGAGTGGAAGGCAGGTCATCCCTGCTGAGGAAGGCGGTTTGTGAGGTTAGAATATCAGGTGGCCCATCCCCGTGGATGGCTCAGGGGTGGAGAAAGTGAGGTCCTCACAGCAGCCCATACGGTAGGGGGTGGGGGAGGTACTGCTGTCCCCACTTTATAGGAGGGAGAGCCCACCCTCATGAAGGGCACACAGCCCGGAAATGTGAGAGCCTCAGGGCTTCCAGGAGAGGTGAGTTTCTCCAAGACGGAGAGCAGAACCTTTCCACTCCTTGAGTGACTTGTTTAACGGTTGTAAGCCTCAGTTCCCCATCTGGAAAATGGGGCTAATAATACTATGTACCTCAAAGTGTTTTTGTGAGGACTGGATGAGGTGGCATGTGGGGTGAAATACTTAGCATAGTGTCTGGCACATAGCAGGTGCTCCGAAAATCGTAGATGTTATTATTACTATCATTTTTGTCATCTTGATGGCCATCATCATCCCCAAAGGCCCAAACCCTCCCCAGACGTGTTGAGCTGTAGTATGCGGTATGGTAGCCACGAGCCACGTGTGGCTTTTTTTTTGTTTTTTGTGGCTGCAAGGCACGGCTTGCAGGATCTTCGTTCATCGACCAGGGATCATACCCGAGCTGTCGGCAGTGAGAACACGGAGTCCTGACCCCTGGACCACCAGGGAATTCCCCACATGTGGCTATTTAAATTTAAATTTTCATTAAAATTGAATAAAATAAAAAGTTCAGTTCCTTAGCTGCATGAGCCCCGTATGGCTCGTGGCTGCCATACAGGACAGCACAGATGCAGAACGTTTCCATGATACTAGAAGGTTCTGTTGCAGAACGCTGGCCTAGAGGTGCTGAAAGGAGCAGGCTCCCTCTAATATCTTCCCCACGCTTTGTCCCTCAGAAGCCCACCACAGGGCTGTTGGCCATCACCCTGGCCCTCCACCTCTGTGACCTGGTGCATATCGCTGGCTTTGGCTACCCAGACGCCCACCACAAAAAGCAGTCCATTCACTACTATGAGTATATCACACTCAAGTCCATGGTGGTAAGTGGTCCCTGCTGGTGAACTGGGGACCCTGAGGGAGTGAGGGTGGTCCCAGAGATAGCTCACCGAGAGGTCACACGGAGAGTCAGAACTGGAACCAAGGCATCTGGACTCCCAGGCCAGCGTCCCCTGTATTCTGTCTTCCTTCCGAGAGCCGGTGTGGGGAATGGAGCTCCCGGGGTGCGGGCCTACGGGGAGGGCCAGGTAGCTGCCTGGGAGTTCCTCAGTTGGCTTCCTTGGCTGTCTCCACAGTGGTCAGGCCACAATGTCTCCCAAGAGGCCCTGGCCATCAAGCGGATGCTGGAAATCGGAGCCGTCAAGAACCTCACGTACTTCTGACTGGGCAGGAACTGTACCCATCCGTCTGCTCACCCTGCTGAGTGCCCCCATCCATGGCTATGGGGGGTGCCTGGTCCCAGCTGGGACTCACCCTCCCCTGTGTGGGTAGGAGGAGGCCAGGTCTGAGACGAGGCTGTGTCCCTGGCGGCTCCGGTGGAGGCCAGATCGAGTCAGGGTGGCGGCCCTGAGGCAGCAGGAGCCCGGCCAGGCACGGGGCTTGCTGCTGTGGCATCCCCTCTCTGCCAGCGCCGGGAGATTATTTAACGGGCTATTTAATTAAGGGGTAGGAACATGCTGTGGGCTGGCCCCATGGCATCCAGAAAAGGGGGCATATTACCATGTTCTGCTCACTTTTTACACAAAAGTGATGGACCCACTACGGCCTAGACCCAGAGCAGGCCTCCCAGGAGGGCGAGGCGTCTGGAGCGGGCAGTGCCCGGAGCGGGTGGTGCCCTCCAGAGAAGGGCTGCTCCCTCCCAGCGGGCATGGGAAGAGCACTGGCACAGGGCTTCTGTGGAGGAGAGGACCTAAAAGGGGTTTCAGACTTATTAAACTATTTTTCCTAAAACAGAAGCAGCTGTGATACCTTGTGTCCTTTCAGAGTAAAGAAGACACGGATGCGTAGTGGGCCACAGCAGTGGGTCCCTCTCCCGGCAGTGGACAGGCTTGTTAAAGACCCACTGAGGCCCAGAGTGGGCCAGGGTCATTCAGGAAATAATTATTTACTGAGTACAGTGCCTGGTGGGTGCCAAGTTGTGCTTTGTCACCCTGGCGTAGCAGGCGAGCAAGTGGTGTTCCAAGCAGCCCTGTCTGCTGGACACCGAGCCTGGCATCTGCATCCTGGTTTACTTTCCAGAGGTAGGGAGGGGCAGGAGGATGCCAGGGTGGAGCGCCAGCACCCTCTTCCACCTCCCTTCCTCTCCCTCACCAGCCTCTTTTCCAAAATCTCATTCTGGGAGGTGTGTGTTTGAGGACAGGGGTGGAGACACACAAAGAAAGCCAAGTTTCCCTTCTCAGATTAAGTGGGAATCATAAAATGGAGTTTACAGAAAGTCCTGCCAGTGGCCCAGGCAGCCAGAATTGGGACGGGCAGGGCATGGGGGGCGTCTGAGGGCTGGGCATGGCCTGTCAGCCAGTCGCGGAGCCACAGGATGAAATGCTTTTGCCATCCCCCAGTCTCTAGAATTGACACAGCCCTGCTGTCTGCCTGTCTCTACCCTTGCTCTGTTCCTCATCTCCCCAGGCCCTGCTTAGCTGCCAAGTGGGCTTCCTGCCACTCTCACAGCTGTTCCTTTACATCTGGAGCCAGGAGGGAGAGCTGGACCTCCCCCAGAGGGAAAGGGACTCACAGCTGTGTTCCTGGCTTTCTTGGAAAGAGTTGAGGCCTTGAGGTTTTGAGACAGCAAGGCTGGGACAGGACAAAGAGGGGCAGAGATTTGGGAGCAACAGAGGACCCATTGCAATGGATGGGCAGAAGCCTGGCAGAACACTTTTGCTAGCTGCTCTCCCCCCAGGGGAGACAGGGAATTCTGAAACCAGATTGGGCTGCAGCCCCAAGCCCCCTCCCCTCTCCACCACACGGGCCAGCTTCGTCCCCCAGGCTTTGTCCTGGGGGGCCTTGCTGACTCCGACAGGCGTCACAGGCGTGAGTATGTTCGGGGATCTCAGCTCTGCTGATTCCTGATGCTTCTCCAGCTGCTTCTCGTAAGGGTATGCATGGGAGTGTCCAGTTCCCCGTCCAGGCCATTGAAAGTGGCTGTCAGCACATATGATCCAGCTGGACTGGGGCCACTGCCTGTTACTGAATGTGCCTAAACTCGAGCCAGAATCCAAACTCATACCCCCGCCCCAAACTCCACACACGCGCATGCAGACACAGGAGCGGTTGACATTCTTGCGTGAAGCCTGTGATACCACATGCAGACTAATCACATCCACACAGGAGTGTGTATGGGGAGGGGGTGTATACTCCCCAGACTGGCCATTGCTCCCTGGGGGGTGTGCATTCTCCAGGTTGCCCCAATCTAGGCGGATGGAGGCAGCATCGCTCAGCTAAGGAGCAGGCAGTGGAGCTTTGATGTGGACTTGCTGGGTGGGACTTTTTGGCGGTCTGAGAAAGGAACTTTCATTCTTCAGTTAGCCCGACCGACGTGAATGAACCGCCTGCCAGCCAGCCTGTCTGGTCCTGATTAAACCGTGCCCCGAAAAGGAGACAGGTGGGGAAGCAGGGCACAGCAGAGGGAAGGCACTTGGGTGCAAGTCCACAAATCCGGGTCCTCCACCGGGCTCTGTCACTTAATTCTGGACGACCCTGGGGTGATCACTTCTCCACGTCTCTGCTCCAATTCCTACATCCCTTGAAACAAGAGGGAGGGTCCAGCCAATGAGGACCACCTCTGCCGGAATTATCTGGGCATAATCTAAGAATGGAGATTCTCGGGTCTTACCCAGGCCGCTGCGGGTACGGCCCAGGAATCTGGAATTCTAACAAGCACCCACAACCACTGCTTCGGTCGTCTAGACTACAGGATGATCTCACGAACCTCTTCCAACTCAACAGTCTGCGTGTACAGCCCAGCCTAATCCCCGGAGCCCTTGAGCCGCGTTAATTAGGCGCACGCGCGGTTTTTTCCGGCGGGCGGGGGCGGAGGCGGGGACGCGCATGCGTCGTCCGCGCGGGCGCGGGATTGGCCCCTTCAGAGCGGCGCTCCAGCGCGGAGCGCCCGGGAACCTCTCGGCGCGCTGAGAGGCCGGCGCCTCCTTGGCAACCGGTTCCGGGCCCGGCAACGGCCGCTGAGGCCTCGCCCGTCTGCCCGGTTTGCAGCGGAGCCGCGGTTTTCCCAGCGGGTGTCTCCCTGGGCTCCTCTGAGCTCCCGCTGGGCCTCGGTCACGTGACTTACGTTGACTTCACCGCAGGGGCGGGGGTGAAACAGACTAGGACTGGGAGGGAGCGGAGGATATCTGCTCCGTGCAGTGTAGACTGTGAGGTCCATCTCTCTCCTCCACAGAGGCCTGGAGAAGACGCGGGACTCCCAGCGCGACCACCTAGCTGGGCAAGACAGAGTTTAGGTCTTTATCTAGCCCAGGAACACATTGAAATGATATTCGATATTCACATCAAGTGGCATGTCTTAATTTTGAACACTTCGGGTTTTATTTACACTTTCCGAGGACATGAATACATCCAACTGCCTTACCCCAGAGACTGGCCAGCCTGCGAAAAGTTTGAACTCGGAAGCAGTTCTGTCCGTGAGGCAGTTAGGTGTAAGCGCATACACAGCCGTGCTCTGCCACGTAATCTGTAAACTAGTGATTACGCATGCCTGTCTCACAATGAAGTTTTAAGGATCTAGTGGGAATATGTCTGGAAGAACATTGTGTAGACTGTAAAGTATGACATAAATATTAGATTGGAAAGCTACCTTGCATAATGGAAAATACCGGAAAGCATATGGAACAACTGAGGTCCATCTGAAGAGCCAAACGTACGCCCAGGTATGGCTAATTACAGAAAAGTCTTTGTCTTCAAGTCACCCACAAGCTAAGGAGAGGAAGGTTAAGACATTGGTGAGAGGACTCAAATGCAGGCTTTGCAGAATCCAACAAAGAACTGTGAGTTCAAACTGCTCTCTGGCAGTGGCTTTCAAGTTGAAGTCAGATGCTCTTAGGGGTTTTTGGAGAAAGGGATTTCTTGGGTGGCATTATCCCGTTTCCATGGCATGCAGCATACCAGGGTAGGTTCCTAAACTAAAGTTGAGAAGTACATCTTCAGGGTTGGTAAGCTCTCCGCTAAACCATCCGACCGTTTTGATGTCTTAATTATAGCTTCAGAAAACTATTTGTTGTTCGTTTTGAGCATTTCCATGGTTTTGTACCAGACGTGGTTCCAGGAAATCTTCCCAACTTAAAAGTTTGAGGAGGGATCTATGTGTGTGTATGTCAGTAGGTATAGCCTGTTTTCCTGTCCAGTTCTTCCTCAGGGACCTTCCCTCTCTTGTTAGAGTTTGTGGAGATCCTGCACCCGGGAAATGAAGCGGGGAGATGAACCTTGGGTCTCATTAAATGTCAGATTTGGGGGGAGCCCAAATGTATTGGAGGGCTCCACCTCTTAAAGTAAAGGGATTGCTGGGAGCAGGTTGGGAAGACCACAGTCCTGTCTAGGAGGGTCAGCACAGAGGATCTGACAGAAGTTTTTAGGGAAAACTGAACTTTGGGAGCCAGATTTCAGGTTCCCAGGGAAGACCAGTTGAAAGTACTGCACCCCTCAACAGAGGCGCTGTTTCCTCTGGAGAATCTTGCAAGGCTGGGAGGGTGGAGCTGGCAGAGTGAATGAGAGAAATCACCCCAGGGGAGTCGAAGTTGGAATTACTGAACTAAGCTGTTATTCTGAGGTTTCCTAAAACACTACTTATGTCCATCACCAACTTTAACACTTAAGGAGTGTCTTCACTTGCTTAAAAATGTGTTTCTCTCCTGAGGAAAAATATCACAAGAGGGCAAGTCCGGTAGGGAGATTCTCTCCAGTTCTGTTCTTTTTCTCTGTCGATTTCCGTTCCACTTGCAGCCCTCCATGGCAAGAGAGCTAGGGAAACTTTTAAATAAAACTCAGGAAATTCTCATCTGAAAATTCTGCTGTAGAAGTCCTGAATCCTTATCTGTATCATTTTATCTCTAATGCCTTCTTCATTCCATATTTCTCCCATTAGTGTCATGAATTTGTTTTCTAGTCCTTGAGCAGCAAGGCTGTGGCCCTTTAATTTCTTTACAAAGGTGGTGAAGGTGGTATCTTGAGCTCAGTCCCCTTGAACTTTTCTTTGCCTAGTTGAGGGGCGATGAATCCATTCAGGGGGAATGAATCCCTAGATTCAGCTCCTATCCTGAGTAGCACTTTTCCTCTTGCATAATGGGGAGTAGATTTCAGAGAAGGTCTATTTAATAAGACCCCACTTCTCCCTAAGAAGACCTGTTTCCTGAGACTTCACATATCTTGTCTTTGAACATGAATACTTTAGATTCACCACAAAGAAGACAGCTATTAAGGAGCATTATATGAATGTTCTCGTAGCATTCCAAGATATTTCCAAGGGTCACAGATTGAGAAGCAGTGGAAGGAGATTCCTTTGTGTGACCGGGGCTCCCTGATCAGTGAGCTCGAGGGAGGCTTTTGGCTCGAGGTTTGCAGCTGTTCCGGCCCTGTGGGTGGGCCGAGCAGAGGTCCAGAGAGGAGCTCTGGGAGCATGGAATGGCAGGCAGATACGGGCACCCGGGATGTAGACCAAAACTCAACAATGGATCCTGTGAATGGCATGTGTTCACAGAAGGCCTTTTAAAGATGAGGGCTGGGGTAGGCATGAAACCACAGGGCCTGTGGTCCGAAAGCTTTCGTGTATGTCCAAGACTTTGCCAATAAAGAGAAGGAGGAGACAGATCCAGGAAGAACAGCAGCTAGAGAGGGCAAGAGTGGGCGGTCCTCTCCCTAAAACACAAGTGGATTCATCCAGGAAAACAAATCCTTACTTGTTTTTTCCCAGTTTATGACCTAATTAGGAAGGTGGAAACATAGCGGGTTGGGG